CCGGGCCGGGCTGGGCTGGGCTGGGCTATCCCCGCGGCCGAGGGGCAGCAGCCCCTGCGGGCTCTGCTCGGTTCCAGCGCTCTGTACCCCGCGAGTGCTTTGCGATCCTCGGAAAATAGCACGGGAGGATGCTCGGTGTGAGCTGCGGAGCTCTGGCTGTCAGAGGTACGATATCCAAAATAACAGGCTGTACCCGAGGAGGAGAGTCAAGGAGAACGAAGAGAGTGAGAAATGGGGATTAATGTTGTTTTCGGTATACTTAGTGTCATGCTGGCTTCTTCGGGGGTTTAGGATTTGGTTGGGGGAGTTGGGAGTTTCAGGCTCGTGGGAGCTGCTGTGGAAAAGGCCTTGCAGTAAAAGTTCTGGTGTCTTCACGTGTGTTCGTAAAGGGTGTTCAGAAATGAGCGAAATGTCAAAGGCTGAACTTGTGCTGCTCTTCTGGAAAAGTGGGTGATTTGCATTGGCCTAGAGAAGCATCTCCTGGATAGGCAAGTCTGTCTGAGATGGAGCAATTCACCTGAGAGGACAATTCAAACTGCAAAATATGTGTAAAAGCAAAAAAAAACCAAACCCCCAACTGCTTTTTTCAGCCACTTCCTCTGTTTGCCATGCTGTTCAAATAATGTGAGCACCGAGTTCCATGCACTGATTTTGTCAGTCTGTTTACACCACTGCTCAATTCTGTTTGCTGTGTAGCCAGAGGAGCAGCAACCTTTGCCTCCTACGAGGTGAATATTGGGTTGTCACTAGAGCTCCTTCTACCAACAGAGCTGTTGAATGTTGGCAGAAAGTTACCACAATTATTGCAGCTAAAATGTTGTGGACTGAAGGTGCCAAAGGACTTTCCCTTTGTTCCAGTTAAGCCTTAGTAGGATTTCCTAAGGATGAACTCATGGATTACACCTGGGCTGTTCTCTCTTTGTCACAGTGGACAAGGTCAGAATGTTAGATCAAGATGCAGAAATAATCTTGTGCCTTATAATGGATTATTTGTCCATAGTTACTTTCAATTCCCATGGGAAACTGATGTTTTCTCTGTGAATCATTTCTGGCAGCTGTACCTATCCTTCCCTGGAATAATTATGGCCCAGACAGCATCAGGGGAGGAGTATTTGCTTCAATGAGTGAAACATTTCCACTTAGGAAGTAAATAATGCTGCTCTGGCAAGGTTCAGGCTGCAAGAGCGCTGTAATTCATCTCCTAGAGCTTTTGAACAGGCCTTTACTCTTGTTATGCATCGCCCCTGCGGAGTAGATGGGAATGCAGAATGCATCTGGTGCATCCTGGTGTGGAAAATGGAATATTCACATCAGGAAGAAGGTCTTCAGATCAGCCTGCAAGGGATTGGTGTGGTCTTTGCAGCACACACAGCTCCATTCACTAGTACTCAACATCACAAGTGCCCAGCTGAGCTACAGCAGCCTCTGGAAGTAGTGGGAATGTGCACAGGGAGAGTGTGGGTTTGCCTGTGGGTTTGCCTGTGGGTAGCTCACACCTTCCCAGGAGCTGAGGTTGCTGTTGGACTGCTCTGTTGAGCTCATGTCGTGACATACAGCCTGCCAGCCTGCTCTGCTCTTTTTGGGTAGCAAGGGATTATCCTCCTTTGTGCTGCAGAGACTGAGATTTTATGGGTTTGTGGCACAGCCTGGAATGTTCTTTCATGATGAATAATTGTAGGAACTGGCATTGCCTTCCTTGAAATGCTGAGAACTGTGAGGCCTGTGATGTTTCATTCACACTTGGAGAGAGGAAGAAGGTCTAGTGAAATGGCATAAAACTCTTTCAGGTTGGGGAGTGCCTCTCTAGCATCATGTGAAATATCTTATGGCATTTGTTGTTTCCTTCTCTACACGTGCAATTCCTTTTCCCACTGTTCTTACCTATCCCCACCTACCAGCAGCTCACCTGGGTGAGGCAGGAGGAGTGGTGATGGTTGTTGTAAAGGAAAGACATGTAGCAATAACTGACCTGTGCTTCTCTTGTACCTTTGCATGGTTGGATGTTCCCCTTTATTTTCTCTGTTTGACTGTTCACAGCAGCCTTAAAAAAAAAAAAAGGCAGTTTTGTTTGTTGGTTAAAGCAGTAAATAGTCCATTTTATTCATCTCAGCTCTGGAGGAAGAAGGGATCACACAAATCTCATTAGGCTCTGCAATACTTTCTAAAAAGGATGTTCTTTGATAATTTCTGCTTTCATAGTGGCAGTAAACACTGGTGCACCTTCAGCCCTGCAATGTTACATCCACCTCCACGAGCCTAAATGAAAGAGGAGCCCAAGGCACCTTTCAGTGCTGATTAGAACAAAAGATGACATGAAGTTTGCAAGGACATTGGGGTTTGATGTTGTGCTCATGTGACAGGTGTTTGGATCTCACAGTGATGCGTGGCAGGAAAACTCTGAAGCTACAGAGATGCTAAAGCTGAGCAGAAATCAGCCTCTTTCTGAACGCTAGAAACATGATTTTGCATCAAGCTACTCCTCCATACATTCAGAAGGGGATGTTTGGCTGGAGGAAGGATTTATTTTTAGGCCTCAGTGGTTTCACTTGCTTTATTGGTAGGTGGGAGCGTGAACAGCACGTCACAGGGCCCAGAGCTGCTCCTGTTGCCATGTCTCAGCATCAGCTGGACCGGGTTTGTCGCCTGGGCTGAGCTGGCTCTGTGGCATGGCACTGGGTAAGGTCTGCTGCAGTTCTGCCATCTGCACTCCTTGGCCCTTGGTGTTCTGTTTGGTCATTTCTCCAAGTTTTGAGACAATCTTGGCTGTTATGGATAGCTTGAGAGGAAGAAGGAGACCCAGGGGTGCCCAAAGGTAAAAGGATGCTGCAGTAGATTTGTCCAGGCCCTAAATATTGAAAGCCACACTCTTCTGCCTTGTTGTGGTAAAGAGAAAAACTAGGGTTTGATAATCTATTTGATTTAATTCAGATTGAGGATGTGATGCATCTGTGTGGTATTCACCTCATTTACCCGTTGTCATGGCAACAGTTGGGCAGGCTATCCCAAGCTTTTACTGATCCCAGCACAAAATCTGCTGTGCTTGTTGCAGGTAAGCAATAGCCCTTCCTGTTCCTGCTGGAGTTCATTGATAAATAGCAGGAAAAGATGGAAATTCATCTGGCATAGGCAGGTTTTTAAAAGCTTCAATTACTTCGGGGAAACAGACAAATATTTCTTTTTTAAAAGCCGTTTTAAAGCTTCCTGTGTCCCCAAATCAAAACCAAAACTAACCTTCAGGGCACATGAAACTCAACACTGCAGTTTCAAGTGATAAGATGCCTATGAAGGGTCTTCCTGAAAAATAGATTAGTGTTGACTTTTTATTGCTGAAATATGCTGCTGGTGTTTTCCTGGGTATTTCCTTCACAACATCACAGGATGGGTCAGGCTGGAAGGGACCACAGTGGGTCCTCTGGTCCAATCTCCCTGCTCAGGCAACTCTGTTTTTTGTGCCTTTCTGTTGCTGTTGTCATTGTGTCTCCAGTGGCTGTTGGTTGTATTCCTTAGTATGGAACGAAGGGCAGGAACTGGAGTTTTGTAAAGACTCCTTGCCCAGTTCTTTTCCCTCATAGGCCACGCTCTGCAGTAAGGTTCTGAAGATGGTTTTGTGCCTTTGGTTAGCCTGTGTATCATTCCCATCTCTGCTAAAGCTTGGTTTGAATTAAGCACAGATTTATTCTCAGCAGCTCAGGCCTCTCTGCAGCCAGGTCATTGTGGGGGAAAGGTGCTGTGCTGAGTGGTATCACTTAACATAGACATGTTGTGTCTGCAGGTGTGCTGACCATGCTGCTGCCCATGCCCACACTGCCTGTCTCCAAACCCCTTCACGTGGAGGAGCGTTAGGGATTGCTGTGCAGACCCATGGACCTGGACCCCTATGCCAGCATGCAGGTTGGCATGAGGGTAGTCCGTGGAGTGGACTGGAAGTGGGGCAGCCAGGACAGTGGTGAAGGCAACGTTGGCACCGTGGTGGAGATTGGCAGGACGGGCAGTCCCACCACGCCGGACAAGACTGTGGTGGTGCAGTGGGATCAAGGCAACAGAACCAACTACCGCACCGGGTTCCAAGGGGCCTACGACCTTCTGCTCTATGACAACGCACAAATCGGTGAGTATGGCACGGCCAGGGAGCACTGGAGTTGTCAACCCACTCCTTCAGCATGTCACACCTCCCCAAGTGCTGGTGGAGCCTCTTGCCCCTTGCCTCTTGCCCCTTCTCTGCCATGAACTCAGCTAGTTTGCCATCTGCACTTCTTGGCCCTTGGTGTTCTGTTTGGTCATTTCTCCAAGTTTTGAGACAATCTTGGCTGTTATGGATAGCTTGAGAGGAAGAAGGAGACCCAGGGGTGCCCAAAGGTAGAAGGATGCTGCAGTAGATTTGCCCAGGCCCTAAATACTGAAAGCCACACTCTTCTGCAGAGAAGAACTCAGCTAGTTCACTGCAGAGAAACTCCTCTTTGCCTCTATGCAAAGGCTTTTCTTCCCTCTTTCTGCTTTTATCTGAGTCAAACAGTCCTCCTGACTGTCATTCTGTTAGCCTGACATGACTTCAGGATGAGAGTCCCTCAAGCCAGGAAGTGGATACTTAATACTGCACATATCACTTCATATTATTCATATTCTTGCATCAGCTTCAGCACACACAGTACATGTTTTTTTTATCTTTACAGAATCATAGAACCATCAAGGTTGGAGAAGACCTCTAAGATCATCAAGTCCAACCATTAACCTGTCACTGCTGGAACCACTAAACCATATCCTCCAGTGCCACATCCAGATGGCTCTAAAATGCTTCCAGAGGTGGTGACTCCTCTACCTCCCTGGGAAATATCCCAGTGCCTGAACACCCCAAAAGGGAAAACATTTTTTCTAACATCACATCTGAATCTCCCTGTCTCAGTTTAGGACCATTTCCTCTAGTCATGCTGATTTTTTTCCTCTTTAAAACATGCTGATACAACCCTTAAACCCCCAGTTTCTCTGGATCTTGTATGGATCTTGCATTTCCTTGCTTTTTTTCTCCCAGGTGTCCGTCACCCTAACATCATCTGTGACTGCTGCAAGAAGCATGGGATCCGGGGAATGCGGTGGAAGTGCAAAATGTGCTTTGACTATGACCTGTGCACACAGTGTTACATGAACAACAAACATGACCTGTCTCACTCCTTCGAGCGCTACGAGACAGCACATTCACAGCCGTAAGTGTTTAAAGCCACCCTGAGGTTTGGGGGTCTCTGATCTGAACCAGTGACCTCCCACACAGGGAGTGTGTGCAGGAGGATCTGTTGAGGTGCAGGAGTGACATGGTAGAACTTAACTGGTACATGTCTGTATCAGTCACAAAGAAATAAATGTGTGTTGGGGGGTGTTTTGGTACTGGTTTGGTTGCATGGTCAAAAAAGCTTTGGGGCCACTGTTCTATAGAATGATGTAATGTTAGATTTGTTGGGTTGGGCACTTTGGTGGAGCTGCTTGGAAAGAGACAACAGAAATCAGCAGGATTTGTCTGAAAAGTTAAATTAAGGTGAAAACTCAGTGTTTTTCTGCTCTGGTTTTCCTTTCTTCGCCTGATTAAGTAATTTCTTAGCCATGCTTTGCTGTTTGCTGCTCTCAGATAAGTGAGTGGCCACAGGGAGGTTGACAGGAATCTTGCACTCCCAAATTGCTGATTTCATGGGGTCTATACTGATGAACATCACCTTCTCATTGACTCTTGCTCTGTCCCTGGAGGTGAAGAGCACCTGTAATTCTATGCTGTGCCAAAACATGGAGATCTGTCATCCTATCCTGAAGAAGAACTCAAAAATAGTCTCACCAGTAGTTTTATTTGCACCTCCTAAAATGGGCATGAAGATGAATCTTATAATCCTCTTGCCTTCAGGAAAAGTAATAAGAAATCAGCTTGTCTCTGTTCTTGATTTTCTTTTTTTTGCCTCCCTTTGAAAATATCACTGTGCATTGCATCCGTCTGTGCAATGAAAAGTGTAATTACTGTGCTAAAGGCAGTGGTGTGGGATTTGCAGCTGCTTTTCCTCCCATATGGGAAGCTCTCTCTGGAGCTGATTACCAGAGTTGTGCCAATGTGGTTGGGCCAGAACTGGCTGTTAGTAAAGGGTTGGATGTTGCTGTCCAGAGCAACTCCCCTCTGAGCTTTGAGGCTGGTGTTCATCCACCAGATTAGGGAGTTTCTGGAGCTTGTGTTAATATGACAAGGCAGCCAGGTCCTGCTGTAAAATGAGCTTCATGATTTCGTGTATGTATAAAAATATACATCTCTATAAAAATAGACATGTGGGGGTTTTTCTCTTTCTATTACTATTATAGCTATCTCCACGTAGCTACCCAGGGGTGCCTGCTCATGTCTTTTGTTTGAGCTTAAGGTACATAATCTTGCTCATACTCAAAGACAAAGGATTCAAAGGTAGGCAGCAGCTGCTGGAAGAGGCTGCAGTGCTGCAGAGCAGGCAGTTTCCAGCCCTTTGCCTGGGATCTCCCAGCCCTGCACGGAGCTGCGTGGGCATCAGGCCAGCTCTGTGGCCTTCCCTGACCTCCTCAGGAACACCCCAGAATGTTCTCCTTGATCACAAGGCAGATTGCAAGGCAGTTCCTCCTCAGGACTCATCCTCTGCAGAACTTCCTTCCTTTTCTAAGGAATCTGAATGGTGGAAGATGTAAATAGAGCAGTTTTCCCTTTCCAGGCTTCTATCTGACCTGTATCCAGGCTGCTGTTTGAATTAGGCAGTGGAGTGCTTGCTGTTAGTGTGAAAAGAGAGCTTGGGAAGCAGCCAGGAAACTTGCCAGAGCCAGTAGTGTGCTGTGTGAGTTGTTTGACTTTCCCAGAACACTGCAGCAGCCTCTGGAATGTCAGGGAAGCACTGGAGAGCTCCTTGGAGGTGGATGCCCACTGGAGCAGAACATGGTGTCTGATGGTGCTTGCTTCTTGGTGGCTTTCTGGCTGGCTTGGCTTGGTTTTGTTCCTGAATTCCTTTGCTTTTTTTTTTTTTTCTTCCTCTGAGTGTGGCTCATTGAGTGGTTGGAGAAGATGTGATATAGGTTAACTTGATCTGATAAAGGCCAAAGTGTTTGATCCCAAGTCTTTGTCAGAGTAGCACTGTTCTGATTTCCATTAGTGTGTGTTAGCAGGAGCAAAGATCTTTCTAACACCAAGCAGCTAATAAAAACAAGAAGGAAAAAGGCAAAGGGATATGTGTGAGAGACATCAGGGACACAGCATGAGCCTGTCAGACGTGGCAGTGGTTTCTGGGAGCCTCAATAAAGGGTAAGGATAAAGCAGCAGTAGTCATAATTGGATATTAGACAACTTTCCTGCTGTTCCTACGTGGCAGGTGTTGAATCTAGCTGAGTTTAGGGATGGAGAGAGATTAGAAACCCTCAAGGAAGAAGATTCCAGTTGTGCAAAGCTGCAGTTTTAAAGATGAATGAAAAGTAGCTGTTGTGGTTCTTAGAAGTCACTCAGCTTTGGGAGCAAAAATGGGGTTTGTTGCAGGCATTTGACTGGGTTGGATGGCACAGTGCTGTGACTGCAGTGCATGTGTGTTTTGTGCAAGAGATTCCATACAGGGAACTGGCAAATTCCAACAGCTTTGCTCAGAAAGGCCTTGCAGTGCAGGAGCAGGAAGGAGGGGGAACATCTTTGCTTTAAAGCAGTTGTAATCCTGTGATTTGTTGGTCCAGTATTCCACAGATTGCTGTGCATTAAGCATTGAATGATGTAAAAAAACCCAAGTGAAACAAAGGGCATGGTTCATCTTTGAACAATGCCATGGAGAGTATTTGTTTGGACTAAGTGAGGTCTGAGCTGTAGAGACACATTGCCTTGGGCCATGCAGCATCCACTTCGAAGAACAGAAGTTGCATGCTTATGACTCACTTAGACCATTGCTTAGATCACTCATCTCTCTTTTTTGTTTTTTTATGGCTAAATAAAGTAGAAGATAAAACCTTTGGCAGTTCCCCAAGGCCCCGAAAAAATAAAGCTGTGTATTTAAAAAGACATGGTAAATGCTGTGTAGATTTGGGTTTTGTTGTTGAATGGCTGTGAAACACAGGATGTGTCTCCTTTAGAGACTGAGATTCTCTCACCTCCTTTTTCTGGCAGGGAATGGGAATCCTTAGGTTCTTTAGGAGGAGCCTCAAGCACAACAGTGTATTGCTCTCAAAGCCCAAGCAAAGTGCTGTGCTGAGCCCACTGGAGTGTTAATTAGCCAGAAAGCTTGTCAGGGGAGTGGATGGAGACAGCCCAACAGGTTTGACAGCATCCCAGAGTCTTGGTTTGCATAATGAGGGAGAGGCTGCTGGTACAGCCTTTGGGTTGGCATCAGTGAGAGCAAGTGCAGAACTGGGGAGTGGAGCTGTCACATCAACTGTCTCCTGACCCAGAGATGAGCTAGGAGTTTGCAGTCCCTCCCTGGGTTCCATGCTCAGCCTGTTGTGCGAGAGCATCCAGTCTTGGAACTGCTGCCATGGCTGATCCTGGGACAGAGGAATCTGAGACCTGTGGCAGGACAACCTCAGGGATCCCAGTGTAGTGGGTATGTGCAGTGAATTGCTGCCAGAGCCATGCATGGCACCTGTGTGGCTGAACCCAGGCAAGGCCAGCACATTGCTGTTTGTAGCAGGGCACTAATCCCAGGATTTAGGAGGATTTAACCCCAGACAGACACTGCAGAGGGTTCCCAATCAGTTTGCTAAAGAAGCTTTGAAGATGCCTTTACCTGAAGGCAATTGCAGGACTTAGTGACCTGAGTTTGAACCTCTGGTGTTGAGAATACTGATTTTTATTTTTTTGGTGTTATAAATTCTGCTGTTTAAGGTAATTTCTTTGTGACCTCTGGCAGTTGTTACTTTTTATTGGTCTTGTTTGGTTTGCATTTTATGGCTGTTGTGGGAGAAGCTTTGAAAGGATGAACAGCTCAGTTTCACTGAAGGCCTTTCTCCAGAGTTGTGTATCATTTGCTGAATAGATGGTTAGTAATTGGAAGATAAATCAGTGTCTCCAAGCAGAGCAGCAAAGCAAAACTCATCAGGTTTATATTAGGGCTGGAATCATCAGGCACACTCTGGTGAGCTCTGCAAACAATCAGCTCTGAGATAATCTTCCTCTCATACAAAACATCAATGTTATTACATTCAAGTGCAAAAGCAGCACTGGCATTTTGCATGCATCACCTGCCCAGGGCTGATGCTGAGCTGAATTTTAGTAGCAGATGTGGTGCATTTTACCCAGGCTATTTTCTAGGCTTCACTCACCAATAAATCACAACCTTAACAATTTTTTCCCCAGTCCTGTTTTTTTTTTTTTCCCTGGAGAACAATGGAGCTGGAGGAGCCAGCAAACCACACAGGGAAATGTTTTGTGTAATCAGGCATAAGAAATACAAATATTTTCTCACATTGTGTTTTATCCTGTAGTCAAAACAGAGATTGCAGTTATTTTCAGCTGTAATTCTTAAACCAGCTCTGTCTAGTCTAGTTACCAACTGGATTTGGAAATCAGATACAGGAACAAGTGGCTGCTCTCATTTAGGGATGCCTGAGCAGTGCAGACCCATTCAGGGCAGCTTTAGTGATCTGTCTGCGGCTGCTCACACTGGGAGCCTGAACTAATCCAGCAGCTGAGTGACAACTGCTGGGTGTTTGGTTTCTGGGCAATAAAGGGGATGCAGCTTTATTTACATAGTGACCTCTTCAACGTGTGTTATTTATGCAAGGGCAGTGGAAGCTGCTAGGAGGGGAGGAGAAATGCTGAGGAACATTAGGAATCAAATCTGACTCTTTTGTGATGATGTTTTTTGTTTTCTAACAGGTTAAAAAATTGAATTTCTTAATAGGAGTTTATTGATCTATTAATGAACTAATGGAATTTTACTTGTATAAAAGCCCCACTATGATTTACCAGATAAAAACTGCCCCAGGTACATGCAGAACAGCAGGTTTATCCCTACATTAGGCCTTCCCATGTTTAATTTGGAATATTCTGTTTGATTTGTGGGATAGGGATTGCATTTCAGTCATGTATTTTATCTGGAATTACACGATGCAAACTGTAAACAAGAGAAATCTTCACTAAACATCCCTGGCCTGTGTTTTGAACACTCATGTTTAAAGGATGATAACCAGACCTTTCACTTCAGTGCTCACTGGTGCTTCTGTACCTCCTCAGGACACTATTCTGCCATTAAAGGCTGTGTAGAAACATCTCTGAGAGATGAGCAAAGGTGGGAAAACCTTCTGTCTGCAGGACAATGAGGAGCCTTAGGTGCACACACATGTTTTAGTTCACATTTAGTAGCCCTAGTGTAAAAATCTCACCCACTGTGCCTTCCCAAGAGTCTGATCTGAGTTAGCTCTGGAGGTTAGCAAAAAAGACAGTGAGCGTTTAGCCCAGCTCAGAGCTGAGCTCTAAGGATACAGCTGGTTTGTGAAGAGCTATGCCTTGTCAAGGATAGGATTGGAAAGGAAAAATCTTGGTAAAGACAGTTCCTGAAATAGGTCTGTGTGATCCTGATCCCTCACCAGTGTCCTTGTCTTAGTCTGGTTCATGCTTGAGCAGTCAGCATCCGCCTGCCATCTGTCAGAACTGCCTCTCCTTAGCCTGTGCTGGAAGTGCTTCAGGAAAGGCTTTGCTGGGGGATTAGAGCATCTAGAATTTCTTGCATAGAGGGTCTGTTTCACCTGTAGTTCCTGCAGGATCTTTGTGCTGGTTTTCCTTGAGGTAACCTGTGTGAATCTTCATGGAATGTGGGTTTGTACCCACCATGAGCTGAGCCTGGTTTACAGCTGTGCCTTTCTGAAGGGATTAACATGATATTTATGGCCTGCTGCCTTGCAGGGTGACCATCCCTTCTGCCTTCCAGTCCTGTGCATTGTGCTTGTTATTTTGATTAAGACCTTTCTACAGTGGAAAAGACTCTTTCAAAATACATTGCCTGGTGTGAAGGGGCTGTGACTCCTGCAGGGGCTCAGGTTGCTGCTGCACATTTAAAGCATCTCTGTTAAGATTCTCCAGGTCAGTTGATTTGGGTCTGGGATCTCTGTCTGTAGAGCATGGATGATGCTGCTGTTCTGGCTGGCATAGCTGTCAGTGATGTGAAAAGCTGTGTAAGCACCTCAGTGAAACTTGAGCACAGGCAGAATATCCCCAGGGGAGTGGTTCCCAGCATGCTGGAGAGAGGTGTAACTTCATTCTGGACAGTACACACTCCCAAGTGTCTTCTGAGCTCCACAGTAATTCAATATCACTGGAATTCGTGGGACAGGATTGGCTGCAGATTGACTGTCACAATCAGCCTTGTTATTAAAGGCAATGTCACAGTGATTAAATTTATCCCCAGGGTATTTTAGTAACTCGGGTTGTTATCCAGCATTTGGATGAAAACATCTTGAGTTAGATTAAAACCTAAGATGGGTTGGCTCAGGACTTTGGGTTCTTGCATCATTCCTCAGTGGTGCTGGTGAGCAGTGTGGGGCAAGGCAAGGGCAGGATTTTGTGGGCTGGGAGAGAAGGCACTTGAGAGTTGCCTCCAGCAATGGGAGATGGAGTTTCTTACATTTTTCTTCTTTCAGGAAGCTCAGCTCTGTTTTCCCTAGCCCCAAATGTGACTGGAAGTGGCAGGTTAATATGAGAGCTGTCAATGGGAAATGACTCCTGTTATGTGCTAATACAAAAAGGGAATTTGGGAATATAACGAGTGGTGGTTATTCTGCTGTTTAAACATCTTGCTTAAGCTTAGCTTGGTGCTTTATTTTCCTCTCCCTAAGCAGCTTTGCATTGAAACCCCTCCCTTGTGAGGGTAGGGTTTGGAGGAGAGAAGTTATTTTTATCACTTTGTCTCAGGGCTTGACTAAGACATCTCTGATAAACTGCTAGAAAAACATTCAAGAGAATACAGTGAAAACAGTGTGTGGTAGCTAAGCTGTTTCAGTACCCAAACCCATGTTGGGTTTTGAAGTCAATCTAGAGTGCATGACACAGTGCAGTAAAGTGAATGCTGATCAGTGTCTCTTTTTAGCTGAGCTTTTTCCTAGCCTGCTCATGATCTCTGTTCATAACAACAGCCAGACTTGATGGTGGTTAAACCAGGCAAAATCTCCACCATCCAAATAAATGGTTTTCCTCCTCCTCCCTTGGAGCTGCAGTCTGGATAATGAATGATCAGTGATGATGGGAACATGTGTAAATAATCTCTCCCTCTTTTTAAACACATTAGGTTGTAAAGCACAGGTGGGAGATCTGTTAACAGGTTAAGAAAGGTAAAAGACTTAGGCATTTGGTGGCTAAGTAAACAGTAAGTTCAAGCATAAGCTTTTGATCCTTCTGAGTCTCCACCTTCCCTCTCTAGGTATTAGATGGAAAATAAATACAGTGTTCTGAGGTCAGCACTACCCCCAGTAAGCTTCCCCTCCCCTTGCCCTGTGCAACAGCTGCTGAACTCGGGTTTGCTCTGTCTGCTCTGGGAGCTGCCAAGAGCCTGTCAGACTCTGCACTTAGGGACATGGATTGGGGCATCTTTGCAGTCACCAAGAGATTGTGCCCTGGGTGAGCCACCCAAACAGCTCCCTAAGGATTTGGGTGACTTGGCATTTCGTAGGAAAGCTTTCTGCTGGGGAACAGAGTAGGACAGCACAGTGGGAACTGAGAAGCTGCTGTGACATTATGGGAATTGGAAGCTGCTTTAACAGGACATCAGATCCTCTGTTCACTATCACGTAGGTATCTCTTCTCTTTTTCCTCGAGCCTGTGATGTGGATTGCAGGGCACATAAGGGACTGGGTTAGCCTGGAAGTGGTCTAGCCACAGCTGGTCTGAT